ATCTGCACACACACATACACACACACACACACACACACGCGCGCGCGCAAAAGACAACATAGTACAGTTTTTAACCTATTTAAAATCCAAATATACTTGACCCAAAGCCCACATATGTCCTACAAACTTCAATGGATATAATAGCATTCCATACAAGAGAGATTATTAAGGCTAAGAACCTCTTCTTGACCTGAAGAAGTKATCCCATAGTGAGGAGTGATTCCATAGTGAGGTTCTGACTTAGTTACATGAAATAACTTTAAGCATGACATGACAGAAACATATTAAAGATAGAATTTTGCTGAGTTCAATAAATAAACAAATTATAGTTTAAAAGTTACTATTAAGGCTCCTAAAGCAATACAGTTTAATGTAGTGTCAAATCAGATACTTTTGAACCAAACCAGAAACTCTGATTTAACAAAAATTTACACAATTAAAAAAAAAGACTTAAATGATATTTGTGATATTCTTTCTGTAATTTTATCTATGCTAAGTCATTTTTAAAAAGCAAAGTATATGATAGTGATATATTTATCTTCTATCATAATTCAAATAAATGTAATTTTTAATCCAAAAGTTTCTAAATGGCAAACTTCCAATTTCCACATTCTTTTCCAGAAAATCCWTTTGGACAAAATATCTGGGGTCCTAAACACTGTTTTAACTTTGATAATGTAGAAGCAAGACTGTAACTTAGAGAAGGATGATATAAGAAAGGAAAAGTGAGAAAAGAGTAGGCATCCCTACTACATAGATGTATTCATTTTATAAAGCAACAAATCAGTAAATTATGTTAAAAGAATAGAGCTTGAGTTGGGAGCAATAGAACATACCTATAATCCCAAAGACTCAGGAGGTGGAGACACAAGGATTACAAATTCAAGGCCAGCCTCAGGAACTTAGCAAGACCCTCTCTCAAAAAAATAAAAAATAAAAAAACTGGGGATATATTTCAGTGGTAGAGCTCCCTTGAGCTCAATCCATAGTACTAAATAATAATAATAATAATAATAATAATAATAATAATAATAATAAAGTTTTAGGATATTATTTAAAATTACAAAAGTTGATAAAAACTAAAAATAACATAATTTTCAAACTTAATCATGGAAGACAGGTATATAGGAGTAATGTGAATTATTAAACTCACTTATTAACAGGAATTCTATAGATATGATCTATTGATTATGGAAGCATAAAGGAATAAGCATGTTATCTAAATTTATCATGATAATCTTCAAAAAGATATATAGAAAGTAAAAGATGTTGCCATTTTGGAGAGAATAATTGGAAATGAAGAAGAGTGTGTGAGAAACTTAMTATCCATTTTAAGATCATCATTATTATTTGTTATTTTCCATATTCAGGTGTTACTTTTAAATACAAAATTTATAAATAAAATATTGCTTCATATTCATACTGCTGTTACTTATTAATAAATAATTATAAAAACCTTAGATGTGATTATAGGTAACTGCAAAAGAAAGAATTTCAGAATATTTTAATTATAAATATCTGCAATACAATAATAAAGATTATCTTTACTCTGAAAAGCTCAACATTTTCCAGTTCATTAACATTTTTCCAATGAAATAGGTTCATGACAGAAAACATTATTCATATTTAACACCTGACAACACATTMATTGGTATAATAGGAAACGAAACAAAGAAAACTACTTCCAGGCATTACCAGGTGCATCTACTATGTGACAACAAGTCACATAGTTTAATTTATTTTTATAGCTTTATTTTATTTATTTATTTTTATGTAGTGCTGAGGATCAAACCCAGCACCTTGCACTGCTAGGCGAGCACTCTACCGCTGAGCCACAACCCCAGCCCCCACCTAGTTTAATTTTTAGGGCYGTACTTTTCCCTTCTGCTAAATAAGAGTTAGAAACAAGGTCTTGAAATTTCTTCAGGCTCAACACACATGATCTCCAACAAAACAGGTCATTTGATGTTATCAGAATCAAAATTTTCAGCAACTGGAAATATATTCTCTAGCATTCTGCAGAAAGGAAAGCAGGTTCTCAGGAAACTTAGAGGGAGGTTGAAGAGAATAAGGTGAGATGGATGCAGAGCTAGAACTGGAATGTGCCTGTGTCTGTGCTGTCTTAGTTGACTGGGTACCACAGCAACTACCGTTCACGGGGTGGCTTACTTAGTAGAAATTGACACTCTCACATTTCTGAAGGCTGGAAATCCAAGATCTGGGTGTCAGCACAGCTGGGTTCTGCTGAGGGCTCTTCCTGACTTGCTGTCAGCAGCCTTCTCAGTGTGTGTTCATTCTGTCTTTCCTTGTGTGTGTGTGTTGGGGGGGTGTGTGGTTAGGGGGCATGTAGAGAAAGAGAAAGAAACAATCTTTTCCTCTGCTTTTAAGGCCACCAATCCTACTAGATTAAGTCCCCACCTGAGTGACCTCATTTAACCTTCATTACCTTCTAAAATCTAGATATCCAAGTAGTCACATTGCAGGTTAGGACTTCAACATACTAACTTGGGRAGGGGGGAACAAAATTCAGTACATAGCATCTTCTTTCATAAAATGGGTGACAACTTTTTCACGTCTCTCCTGCCTGACAACATGACACAACTCTGTTCCTATATGTCAACATTTCAATTTGAGGAAATTAGTACTTCAAATAAATCAAAAACAAATATTACACAATTTAATATTATTTCTCATTTCTCATCCATGATTTAAGAGATTAGACAATCATGCTAAGTCAAATAAGCCAATCCCCAAAATACCAAAGGTCGAATGTTCTCTCTGATATGTGGATATTAACCCACAACAAACAGGGAGAGGGGAAAAACAGAAGTACTGTGGATTAGATAAAGGGGAATGAAGGGAAAGGAGGGGTAAAAGAAATAGGAAAGACAGTGTAATGAATCTGACACAACTTTCCTATGTGCACATATGAACACACCACCAGTGAATCTCCACATCATATACAACCATAAGACTGGAATCCTAATTAGAATAAGATATATTCCATGTTTGTATAAATGTATCAAAATAGTTTTGGCTGTCATGCATAACTAAAAAGAACAAAAAAAAATTTAATATTAACAGCATAAAAATTTGAACATGATACAGTTCACACTTTCTCAACATTAAAGTTTAAATTCAAAGACACAAACACAAAGGTGCTAATTTATCACACAGTGACCTTCCATATATATTTGTCATCAGTTGTTCCAATCARGCTGCTTGCATAGTCTTCTTATAACAAAATTCCTAAGTGGAAAACTACAGACTCGTATTCATTAAAGCTAATGGATYTCTAGGACTGAGGATATAATTGAGTGGTAGAACATGTGCCTAGAGACCCTGGGTTCAATCCCCCATACTACAAGGAAAAGAAAAAAATATTTAATATTAATGTTTTTCTAGAGAGAAAATGATTTGATCTGAGTTCAACACTTCCTTTGCAGTCCAGTTTCATCGAAAGCCTGCCTTTTGAACTGTGAGAAACAAATAATCCAGTCAATGACTGGGTGAGGTGAGTGTGGTTCAATTCAGGTTTAAGAAAAAAGCTTGTTCACTAAAAATAAAAAAGCATGTGAAATTATGTAAATTCAGAAATAAGGAACTGAGGGTGGCAAATACAGTTTTGGAGGAAATTTCTACCTAATTACAACTTGCCTAGAAATGGGAAGAGATGCACAAAACGCACGAAGTTTTAGACAACGTAATTGTTTAGTCAAAAAGAAGAAAAAATTCTAGCAAAGAGTACACACTATTGATCAAGTAGAAAATGCTTTAGAGTAGGTTTTATAGACAAAGGCCAAAGATGTGGGGTTCACATTACTCCACCCGATAATTTGAGAGGTGACAGTGAAGTATCCATCAAACTTCTCCTCAGCCTCCCCCGCCCCATAACCACCTTCCTTGGCTAAGTCAGGCAGTACCTCTTTGGGACCCAGAGCACCCAGGGTAGATRCCTTTATTATAACCTTTATTCATTGCTGTTGGTATTTCTCAAAATATGATTCTCACACTTTCTGCATAATACAAACCTCCATTATTCTTCAACACCCCCAATCCCCATGTGCTTATGTAAAATGCATATTCTGGGTGGAAAATGTAGCTCAGTAATAGATCACTTACCTAACATGTGTGAGGTCCTGAGCTCAATCCCCAATACTGGAAAAAAAAAAAAGAAAGAAAACATGCTGATTCTTCACCAGATTTAAAAAACATACCTCTTTAGAGTGAGCTCAAGAATCTGCATTTTAAAAACCATCTGTTATGGTTTAGATGTGAGGTGTCCCTCAAAAGCTTATGTGTGAAACAATGCAAGGAAGGTTAGAGATGAAATGATTGGGTTACAAAAGACTTAATCTGCTCAGTATGTGAAAGTCCCCGATAGGGATTAACTGGATGATAATGTACGCAGGTAGGTTATAACTGGAGGAAGTGGGTCATTGGGGGCATGCCTGTGGGCTATAAATTTTGTCAGTGGTGAGGGGAATCTCTCTTTAATTCTTGATGGCCATGTTCTGAGCCACTTCCCTTCACCATACTCTTCCACCTTTATGTCCTGCCTCATCTCAGGCCCCGAGGAATAGAATCGGCCATCTATAGACTGAGACCTCTGAAACAGTGAATCCCAAAATAAACTTATTTTAATAAACAGTTCTTAATAAACAAAAATAAAATTATTCTTGTCAAGTCTTTGGTCACAGCATTGAAAAAGCAAACTAAAACACCATTCACCTGATTATTCTGCACATTAAATTTTGAGAATTGCTGCTATATGTTAATCGTTATTTTTTTCCAATCAAACCATGAACACATTTGATGATGAGCACTATGACTAATCCACCTCTTCATTGCAACAACAAGCTCAAGCAGGCTCCCAATAAAAATGAGTTGACTAACACCTGGGGAAATACTACTGCATAAGCAGAAGGTAAAAAGCAAAGCTCACACAATGACTGGCTGAATCCAAAGAATGGCATGAGATCTTAACTTCGAMGCGCGGCTGGAGTCACGATGGAGGAGTATGCCAGAGAGCCTTGCCCCTGGCGAATTGTGGATGACTGTGGTGGGGCCTTTACGATGGGTACCATAGGTGGTGGTATCTTTCAAGCAATCAAAGGTTTTCAAAATTCTCCAGTGGGAGTAAACCACAGACTACGAGGGAGTTTGACAGCTATTAGAACCAGGGCTCCACAATTGGGAGGTAGTTTTGCGGTTTGGGGAGGCCTGTTCTCTATGATTGAYTGTAGTATGGTTCAAGTCAGAGGAAAAGAAGATCCCTGGAACTCCATCACTAGTGGTGCCTTAACAGGAGCTATACTGGCAACAAGAAATGGTCCAGTGGCCATGGTTGGGTCAGCTGCAATGGGTGGCATTCTCCTAGCTTTAATTGAAGGAGCTGGYATCTTGTTGACAAGATTTGCCTCTACACAGTTTCCCAAAGATCCTCCGTTTGCTGAAGACCCCTCCCAGTTGCCTTCCACTCAGTTACCATCCTCACCTTTTGRAGACTATCGACAATAWCAGTAGAACTTTTTTCCCAGGATTTCTTTAACAGAATGAGCTGTAGTTCAAGAAAGATTTCAGAAGATCAAGTTGCAGTCTGTTTTTAAAACCATAGGTGAAACAACTGTGGCCAAATAGGCTGTGCAGAGACATTTAGCACTTTTTTCTATTTAAAGGAACATGGAGGGGGCGGGATAAAAGATGCCACATTTATGAATTCACACTCGGATTGCATTTGTGATCAAAATAAATATCTAATATCCTTAAAAGAAAATATAATAAGTGCTTAGAAGATGAAGGACCAAAGGGCAAATAACAGTGGAACATGACCATCATTTCCTTAGGGACTTCTCTGCCTGGTTTTGTGTGTTCTATTATTCAAACAATAAAAAGCTACTGGAACTTAGAAAAAAAATCAAGATCAAATAAGTTGGAAAAAAATATTTTTTGGTGTTTATTCTGAATGGACTCAATAATCCAGAAAATTTTACTAACTTCACTCTTTGAAAAATCAAATAAGGGCTAGTTGAAACYCAAAAAAGCCCTGTCACTTGAGTGCAATGACTCAGAAAGAGACAGTGGTGAGACATCAGATGCCAGAAAAGAGCAGGGGGRGATGGCTACTGAAGAAGCYAGGAATATCCTCATTCTAGGATTTCTACACAGATGGAGATTGAAGAAAGGGGTGTGCTGCTGAAATCCAGATTGGGATAAAGAAAGAATGAGAATCAAGGTGTCAAAATGAACCATCTAGGAGCCACACAGTAAGCCACACACCAGAGGGTCACCCAGGCATCTGGTTCATTTCTACCCTGCAATCTACTTTTTGAAAACACTTGAAAAAGTGGATAATAGGATTGGAGGAGATTTTTCTAGAAGGAAAAGCACTGAGATTCCAGTTGGAAATTTAAAGGTCACTAGGATTAGACTTGGCAACTGCTTTCTGTTTTGCCACAGAACACATTCAGGCTTGTCGAAGCAAAATATATTACCTGCCTAAGGAGATAGGCTGCAAAATGTAATATAAATGCTAGGTTTTGACCAGATTTGGTGTAAGGGTCAATCTAATTATGATAATAACATCAAAACATTAACAGGCTATATTTCAAATTGGAGTTCTGGGGAAAACATGTTTGAACTCACTTCTGGCTATTTGTCTTAAGATGTACAGGTGGAGAATTTCTTTTTTTTTTTTTTTTGGTGGAGAATTTCTTTACAAAAGAAAAGGTTATCAGCCTCAGATACATTCTATTTATGATGAAGATTAAACCCAAGAGCAAAAGGGAGCTGAGAGCTGAGGAACAGTTCAGAATGGAAATAGCTAGGTAGATACCTCCAATCTAGGTAACTAAGAGCTCCTGAAGAAAACTACTACCATGCCAGCTGATGGCCAGCATTTCTTTCCATGTGTCTATTCTGCTCCTGCTCATAATTCYATAAAAGCCATTCTCTTCATATATCTCTGACTCTCCACTTTTCCTATCACCTTTTATTGCTTATTATTTATTTGTTTGTTTGTTTTGCAGCCCTGGGGATTGAATGCAAGGGCACCTTTCCATTGAGCTACATCTCCAGTACTTTTATTTTTTTATTTTTTTTTTATTTTTGAGTCTCACTAAGTTGCCAAGGATGACCTTGAACTTATGATCCTCTATACACTACTGCACCCAGCTCCCTATCACTTTTACCTGTTAACATTTCCCCAAAAAACAAGATGGCTTTTTGCTTCTCTTCTTTCCACCCGCAAGAAAGGAACTTACCCACACCCATCCTACTTTCTTTACCTCCTATTGATGGGAGGGTAGGGAAGTTTCCCTACCCCATCCAGGTTTAAACCTTCCACTCAGCCTGGAAGTCTTTTTCTTTCTCAGCCATTTGGACACACAGCTTTGGTTATTACTCTTTCTTTCTTTTATTATTAAATTATTTATTTATTCTAATTACTTATATATGATGGCAGAATGTAATTCATTTCATATTACACATATAGAGCACAATTTTTCAAGTCACTGGTTGTACACAAAGTATTTTCACACTATTCATTTCTTTATACATGTACTTAGTGTAATGATGTCTAACTCATTCCACCATCTTTCCTACCTCCATCCCTCCTCCTTTCCCCTCCCTCCCCTTAGTTCTGTATAAAGTTCCTCCATTCTTCCCATGCTCCCCCTGCCCCATCACCTTTATGAGTCAGCATCCTCATATCAAAGAAAACATTTGGCCTTGGTTTTTTGGAATTGGCTTACTTCACTTAGCATTATATTCTCCAATTTCATCCATTTACCTGCGAATATCATGATTTTATTCACTTTTAATGCTGAGTAATATTCTATTGTGTGTATATATATACCAAAATTTCCCTATCCATTCATCTACGGAAGGGCATCTGCCTTGATTCTTCAATTTGGCTATTGTGAATTTTGTTGCTATAAATATTGATGTGGCTGTGTCCCTGTAATATGCTGTTTTTAAGTCTTTTGCATATAGACCTAGGAGTGGGATAGCTGGGTCAAATKGAGGTTCCATTCCCAGTTTTCCAAGAATTCTCCATACTGCTTTCCATATTGGCTGAACCAATTTGCAGTCTCACCAGCAGTGTATGAGTGTGCCTTTCCCCCACATCTTCACCAACACTTATTGTTGTTTGTATTCTTGATAGCTGCCATTCTGACTAGAGTGAGATGGTATCTTAGAGTAGTTTTGATTTACATTTCTCTAATTGCTAGAGATGTTGAACATTTTTTCATATATTTGTTGATTTATTGTATATCCTCTTTTGAGAAGTGTCTGTTCAGTTCCTTGGCCCATTTATTGACTGGGTTATTTGGTTTTTTGGTGTTAAGGTTTTTGAGTGCTTTAAATAACCTAGAGATTAATGCTCTATCTGATGTGCTTATGGTGAAGATTTGCTCCCATTCTGTAGGTTTTCTATTCACCTCACTGATTGTTTCTTTTGCCGAAAAGAAGCTTTTTAGTTTGAATCCATCCAATTTATTGATTCTTGGTTTTAATTCTTGTGCTGTAGGAGTCTTATTAAGGAAATTGGTGCCTAATATGACATGGTGGAGATTTGGGCCTACTTTTTCTTCCATTAAGTGCAAGGTCTCTGGTTTAATTCCTAGGTTCTTGATCCACTTTGAGTTGAGTTTTGTGCATGGTGAGAGATAGAGGTTTAATTTCATTTTGTTACATGTGGATTTCCAGTTTTCCCAGCACCATTTGTTGAAGAAGTTATCTTTTCTCCAATATATGTTTTTGTCGCCTTTGTCTAATATGAAATAACTGTAATTATGTGGGTTTGTCTCTGTGTCCTCTATTTTGTATCATTGGCCTACAGGTCTATTTTGGTGCTAATACCTTGCTGTTTTTGTTACTATTGTTCTGTAGTATAGTTTAAGGTCTGGAATAGTAATACCACCAGGTTCACTCTTCTTGCTAAGGATTGCTTTGGCTATTCTGGGTCTCTTGTTTTTCCAAATGAATTTCATGAGTGCTTTTTCTGTTTCTATGAGGAATGTCATTGGGATTTGGGTTGGGATTGCATTGAATCTGCATAATACTTTTGGCAGTATAGTCATCTTGACAATATTAAGTCTGCCTGTCTAAGAACAAGGTAAATCTTTCTATCTTCTAAAGTCTTCCTTAATTTCTTTCTTTAGTGTTCTGTAGTTTTCACTGTAGAGATCTTTCACCTCTTTGGTTATTTCTCTTTCTACTTCTGTTCATTTCATCAATTACCAAGGCTTATGCCCCAAATAGATTTGCGTCATTTTGATCTTAAAAAACAAAGTCTAACCTCAACCCATTCTAACCAGACTTCTTTAGAGAACAATCTAGACTCATTGTATCCACATTCTAACCTCCTGTTTGCTCCTTCTCAGTGATATAATCTAACTTTACCACAACTGATCTCACCAGGGTTTCTGCTCACTTAGAACTGCCAAATTCACTGCTTACCCTGACCTCACTTGAACTCTGGGGAGCACCCAACAGATCTGTGACACGCCTCTCTTGTGTTCTTTCTTCCTCTCTCTTAAAGGAAATTTTCACTTCCCTGTCTGTCTTCTTCAGTTCTTCCTCATAGTCCTAATCTTGGTCAACTTAACACTCAATCCACCCTCTCAGAGTCTCATCTACATTACCATATGAATAAATTCCAGGAACTTCCCATCTCCATTGCAAAATCTTCTCCCGAGTTCCAAAACCATATGTCCAACTATCTGTGTGACATCTCAGACTCAGTCTGACCAAACCTGAAATAACCGTCTCTGGCTATCTCCCACTCAACCCAAATCTAGTCCTTTTCCCAGATTCTTTCCCTTGATTAACAGCATAGTCATTATCCTGATCACACAGTTAGGAACTTATTGCTTGATTGTGTTTGTTTGTTTGTTTTTCAGAAATACTATTCCCGCTTCCCCAATCCCCACATGCAGTACCAGTATATGTTTTATCTGCTGATCTTCAGGTTAATGCTTGGTTTCTCTGTTCATTTACCTGTCATTATATTAGTTATTTTTGAGAAGAATACAATATGTTCATTAAAGTTAAACAGATTTAAGTTAAATATCCATTAGTTTAGCAATATGAACATAGTATATGAATCCTATAGAACTGTGGAAGTAATACATGTGATGGAGTTCTCAAGTTATCTGGTATATTCTTGAAAACTTAAATTACTACATTTTTATATAATAAATCATAACTTCTCTAACTGTATAAATTAGGAACAACATTTTCCACTAGTTCTTATTCTGAAAATTATTAATCTTGTAGAAAAAAATGAAAGAATTGTACAGTGAATTCCCATGTACATAACATCTACATTTTACAGCTAGCTAGTATTTGTGCTATCTTTTCTTTATTACCTATCAATCCATTTGGCTTTCTATAAAACAATCTCATTTCAAAATAGGATACAGACATCAGTGCACTTCATCCCTCTATACTTGAGCATGCCTATCATTAACTGGTTACTTGGGGTAAAGGAATTTACATATAGTGAAATCCACAAACCTTAATGCGTCATTCAAAGCGCTGCTCATTCTTGACACTTCCTTCTCTCTCCTCAGTCACTTTCTATGTTGCTCAATCCCTTCTCTTTTCCTCCAGCCCCACAGCTCTAGTTCAGAGCTTTGTCGCTTCTCACCTTCTCACGTCATGCAGTCTTTTCTATTTTCATTCATTCCCACAGCACTGTCAGGATGATTTTTCTAAACCACAAATCTTATTCATTTCCTGTTTAAATGCCTCTCTAAAGTTATTGCCCAAACATTCTGGGAAAACCTACATATAATACCCATCTTCTGGGGTTGGGGATGTAGCTCAGTGGTAGAGTGCTTGCCTACCTCACGTGAGGCACTGGGCTCAATCCTCAGTACCATATAAAAATAAAGA